AAAAAAAAAAAAAAAAAAAAAAAAAAAAAAAAAAGATCACAGTAAATGCATCTGTGAGACGGGGCAGCAGAGGGGTTGAAGAAGGGGCATTTTAACTCAGCAGTAAAGCAGGTCTCACTCAACAGGTGACCGAAAGATGAAGAAGGGAAAGCGTGGTAGAAGGGAAGGACGTGGGGAGTGTAGAGGCACACAGGGCAGGTTCTAGAAGCAGTGAGACGGCCAGGGTGGACAGAGAAAGCAGAGCACAGCCTGGAGGCACGATACTGTCCCCCAGACCTGCATCCTGAGGTGCAGGCTCTGCCGCACAGGGTCTATGAGGGCTGAAGGTGCTTAGAGGGCAACCTAGGTACACCCCCACCCTGCACACACCCTGCAGAGGACAACACGCTGTCCAAATGCAGTGTCTTTGGCCAATGGGCTGTTTCTTCTGTTTCCCCTGGGAGGAGGGGTGCTCTGTTCGGCTTCAGGACGAGAGATAGTTGAGGGGGGTACCAGGAGGCGGCAACAGTCTCATCTGTGAAGAGACGCGAAGACGGACTAGAACGGGGCTGAGCAATGGCTTCTCTGAAGAAGGGTTGCGGGAGGATGGTACAGGGACCAACACTGTGGTGCTTTGAGGAGGAAGAAGGGCTGGAAAGCTGCTGGACTGAGGTCAGAGGAACCAACAACTAATTCTCGGAGTGACGTCAGACAGCAAGTTTAAGGACAGAGCTCAGAGGGGTGGGCACTGAGGACAGACTCAAAGAGGTCTTGGCTGCCTGATGAAACAGGGCATAGTTAGGGGCTGGAGAGATGGCTTGGTGGTTAAGAACACTGACTGCTCTTCCAGAAGACCTGGGTTCAATTCCCAGCTCCAACATGGCAGCTCACAAGTGCCTATAATTCCAGCTCCAGGTGATCTGACACCCATGGCAAAACCACACTAAAAAAATACATAAGTAAGGGCTGGAGAGATGGCTCAGAGGTTAAGAGCACAGACTGTTCTTCCAGAGGTCCTGAGTTCAATTCCCAGCACCCACATGATGGCTCACAACCATCTGTAATGAGATCTGGCTCCCTCTTCTGTGTATATAATAAATAAATAAATAAATAAATAAATAAATAAATAAATAAATAAATAAATAAATAAATAAATAAATAAGTAAAACCTCTGCTCCACACTGGTATTTAAAAAAAAAAAAAGGCACAGTTCATATGTCTGTGGTTTGACTGAGAAATACTCCTCCCACCCCCAGGCTTGGTTTGTGAACACTTGGTCTTTGGTGGCACTGTTTGGAGAGGCTGAGGCGGTGTGGCCTTGCTGCAGGAGGTACATACATCACTGGGGGTATGAGGGTTCCTGGTCCCCATTCCACGGTCAGTTCACTCCCTTTGCTTTGTGCTTGCATCCCAGCTTCGTGTTCCAGCTGCCATGTCTGACACTTGCTGCTATGTCTCCCTGCCTCAATGGGCTTTTTATTTCTCTGGAACCGCAAACCAAAATAAATCCTTTCTCATATAAGTTGCTTTGGTCATTAATATTTTTATCACAGCAACAGAAAAGTAATGAATAAATTCCCCTTCCTAGTTTCTGGTGCATCCGTCCAGATCAGTCTAGACTTCCGCAGGCAAATATACACTTTTTGGTCCTTTTTGTTATCAAGTATACCGAAGTGTGCACTTGTTTTAATCATCTCGTCCAGCGGTCATATACTTAATCTGTGATAGTCCATGTCTTGATCCCTGGGACCTGCAGATCCACTACACCAAAGGGTAGGAGAGACTTTGCAAAAGAATTAGGATTATGGACAGGATGACTCTCATGGGCCCAATCTAATCACACCAACTCGTAAAAGCCCTGATAAGTCAGTGTCGGTTCCC